GAGAGAAATATAACTATTTGTTGCATGAATAAAATCAGCAGCACATCCTTCATTTTTTCACATTAATGAATAAATTACGTTCCAAGAGATTGGAGTTGTGCAGATGTAAACATGTATGTCAGGAAAGGGTTACATTTTTTCCTAGTTTTATTGTTTAAAAACTGATTTAAGATTTAACCCATTTCCTTTAAAAAATTACTTTTACTTTGTCCTAAATTAGTCTTTATGTGCAACCTGCTTGATAACCAATCTTTTAAAACATCATCATCATCTTGCCTCCTTTAAGAAAATGCCAAATAGTTACAAAACTTCAAATGAGGCTTTAGAATGGGTTTAAAAAGGCTAGGTCTTTACAAAACTGCCACTAAAGCCAGTAACATCAAGTCAAGTGTTTGTTCAGCCCCAAAAGACTCAGAAAATGCTTTGGTCCTTGATTATCACATCTAATTAACAGCTCTTGCACAGGAGAAATCTTTGACTTGAAATGCTAATGAATTAACATTGATACTATTTAACAGCAACATCTCTAAAACAGAATTAAGCAATGGGTTTCATTTATCAAGAGCCTTTCTTGCAAACATTTGTTTAAACTTTGTGAAATGTTTGAAATAAACAAAGTAATTCAAATTCTTTAATTTGTTGCACCTGTTTCATGCATGCTTATTCTTTATTACAGCACTGGCTTCACAAAGCAGATTATACTAAATGAATGTCAATACATTAAGTGCAGCTGATGGATGCAGTTTGTAGTGATCAAATTCAGGTTGCCAAAAGGTTAAGAAAAGCACCCTCCTCTTCAAATGATCTTTTTTAATTTACCAGGGTTTCCTGAAAGATTGGCAATGTTAATACAAAACGTTTGGGATTGGTAGAAACCTTGAAACTTGCATATTACCTCACACCTTCCCTTTATACATTCTTCATTTTGTGTAAAGTTCTGGGCATCTACAGTACCTGTACCTTCAGCGACTCCCTTTTGAGCTGTATTATGAACATAATATTTAGCCAGAAAGAAAATATTTGGAAATATAATAATCTAAATGTAATCATAATGCAGAAAGTAAAATGCTAAGTCCATGTAGATGTAATAACTCATTTAAAAATTAATAGGTTAGAATAAAATGTATCAATATAATAATGTATCAATACAATTTTTACATCAATATTTTGCCAAATGCATCCAATGAATAACTATAAATAAAAATATAAAATATCCTGCATGTTGTTTGTTGCATCAGACTTTAAATGGTTATAAATGTCTGGACGATTAGGTAGATGGAAGGACAGATCCCCTAAAGCCGGGCATACACTGTGAGATATTTTCAATCATTGCATGCAACTACAGCTCAAACTGTACGACGAAGGTTTACGACGGCTGACCGAATTTCAGACATGTTTGATTTCCTCCCGACCTTACATTTCCTGGTCGGGAGGTGGTCATGAGAGGCTGATCGGCCCTCGTTACCCCCTGTACACTACATGACGCACCAGGCTGAAACTAGGCCCAATCGAAGAATTCTCCACGACTAGAAAATCTGTCTGAAAAGGAAAAAAAAAAAAAAAAAATCATACAGCTTATGCCCAGCTTAACAAAATAATTTAGCAATTAAGGGCAATGATTTAAATGTAAAAATTCAAGGGTATGTTTTACACAAATATCATGTACTTCAAACATAATAAAGATAAAGAAAAAAGGAAACCTTCTGTTTGCATTCTAATTCTTCCCTTCTTTTTATCAGGGTATCAGCTTTGAGGTCCTGCACCACTTCTTTTAGCTGCAGTAGCCCAGCAAGACCAATTCATGAGTAAAACTCCACTACATTTGGCAATAATCGTTGTTTTTTTACAAGTTTTAGATTCTATAATTATGCTATCAACCTCTGAATCTGTTAGAATCCCTTACAGCTATAAGAACTGTATTGTCTTTATTTTTAAAAAAAAGCAAAGGAAACAGTTTGAACACAGTCTAGACTATTAATTTGAGTAGATTTTTTTTAAGTATTTGGTACTGTAGATCTCACCTACCATTCTGCCTTTTTTGATTTCAACTTTTCCTTTCAATGCACTCTGCATGATTCAAATACCTCTGGTTTTCTCTAAACATGCTTTAATATATCGGCAAACTTTCCCCTACATGTCTCCTTTAAATGATGACCCAAACTGCCTGAACACAGGAAAGAAGTTCAGATTTAGACTAAAGTATGAGCAAACTTAGCTTTGCTCACATGGAGAGTCCTGAAATATTGACAAATTTGCCCATCTTTTTCTCTCATCTGTTCAGAGCAAAATAACTCATCAGACTATAGTGAGGCCAAATACTGTTTCGAAACTATTGGTTTAACCTTAGGCCACTAGGGAGAGCTGTGTTTGTTTTTGGAGTCACTGATTCAAACCAGCCCAGAAGCCTCAGTCAGTCACTTCTGCAAGGAAAATCATTGGTGATCTCTTCCCCTTCAGGAATGCATAGTTTCAAGGTGAAGCTTTATATATTTTCTCCACCTATTATCATGAGACTTATAAAATGTCATCAGTTAGATGTCTAAACACACAACATCTTTAAAATAATTTTAGGTCACTTTATTTATCTTTATCATGGCAATGGATTTAATGTTTTTAATCCTCGGTTGTCAGTCTCTTGGGGTCTGTTGCTTCCTCTGGCCATTAGAAGGGGATTAGTGCTGGTGGGGAAGTACTGCACTGTACTGTAATTCCTCACACTTCTTTGAGAGAAACAACAAGGAAGCATTTTTAAACCCCACAGATGTTCTGACAGTTACCATTCTTTTATGTTTGTTGTTGGAATAGCTGCACTCTTTGTGCAAGTGTAGTAATTTGTAGAGGGGGACACAGATTTGTAGAAAATGGCCCAAGCCTGCCACATTGTTATACCCAAAACTAAAATTAGAATGGAGTGAAGGGTGAGTCTCCTCATAACTTCCAATATATCTGTCAACACAGATTTACTTCAGAGAGTGTAAGGCTGTAAATTAACCTCAAAACTTTGAAGAAAGGAGATCATTATGATGTCATTCAGAGACCCTGTAAAGAAGTCAAGAACATACATGGCAGATATGTCAGTGGGAGTGGTTGCTGAATGAATCATTGCGCTGCTTGTGGAGAAAACTCTCTAAAGGGGGACATGCCAAACTTCTCTGCTAGAAATTGACAAATGGTTTTAAAATAAGGGTAAAAAGATCAAAGTGCTTCGTAAAAATCAGAGGAACATCACAATTTAAGAACTAATACCATAAAAAAACAGCTTCCCTACTAGTTTACTATGGTGGTCTATCTGATAAACTGTTGACGTGTTTTCCAGGCCCACAGTACCATGTTGTATATGGCACTTGGGGTTTGTTCAGTCAGAGAGTTGTTTTCAGTATTTTTGTTCCTAAACCACTGATTTGGTTAGACCGGGAGAAGCTTAAATGGAGGGTTTGAGAGTGATTTTATTTAAAGTTTGCACGTAAACCCTCCTTTTTTGAGATGCCACAGATGTGCTCTGAGGCTCGCAGTGGGAGTTTACAGTTTAGCTAGAAAGGAGCCAAAACACAAACATATGAATTATCTCTTATGAGCTGGTTACGCTCTCACAGTTTTCTCCAACTGAACTTTCTTTAAAGTCACTAACTTGGAAGAGCTATATTTTGTTTATGCCCATCTTAAAATAAAGAATTCTAAAGAATCCTCTGCAAGAAATTTAAATTAAAATTGCAGTTGTTTCCATATTTCTGCACCGTAAGCTGTTTCACAACCTTTGACATATTAATGTAGTTATTTAGGGCTCTTTAATAAAAACTATGTAACAAACTAAGATCTTAAGTAAAATGTATATTCTTTAAAAAAATGCATGAATGAAGAAGTAGTTGGAAAGATAAAAAATTCTAAATAATTGGTGATTTTTTTTAGTAAGGGCCTTGTCAAACTATACATTGTTCTTGATCAGTTTACAATGATCACTTAGAAATGAAAAGGTTTAATATTTGTCTGTGATAGATCAAAAAACATGTAACTTGTATTTGCTAAGACGAAAGGAACCTTATTTATGAATGTCAAAACACTTTTTGGAAAAGAAAAGTCAAAATGTTTGATGTACTGTTGTCTAAAAGTTCAAACCCCATTAGGATACCGTAACAACTACTCTGTGAAGGCCTACACGGTTTCTAACTAAATATAAAAGAACAAACTGAACCATGAAGACCAACACGGAAGACAAGTCGGGGTAAGAGTTACAAGTATTAGCAGGGTTACTTTTTTTTTTTTTTTTTTACAATATCTTAAAGAGCATTTTCAATCTACTATCCTGAAATGGAGTGTAGGCAACCTTTGCAGTCCATTTAAACCAAGGTTCCAATCGCAGTCCTTGAGGCACATTTAAAAAGTGCAGGACACCTAACCTCAAGGACCAGAATTAAGGAACCCTGATTTAAACTGAGAGGTTGGGCAAGGGGAGCATACATCATAACAGTGGCCAATAGGCCTATGTTTCCTCTGGAGGAGCTGGGAAGGTCTAAAGTTCTAGTAGAAAAAGTTTAAGCTGATATAACGAGTAAATTTCTCCAATGTGACTTTAATAAAGTCAATCAACCAATCAATCGATTCTATAGTGAAAGCTGTTTGAAGCCGGCCACGTAATTTGGGATTCCCCACTGCATTCTGAGTGACTAAAATGACAATGTACATTTTTTAAGGTCTGTGGTAAAAAAAAAAATTAATATTTTTGGTTAATTTAGGTATTTATATAGTGTTTTGCCACAGTTCATTAAAAAATGTTTTAGTGGAGTAAGAATGATCATAGGTCGCACTCTTTTCCTTGGACATACAGTAATCCATTCCCTGGCTTTTTTAAAAGCCTGTGGAGTTCAACCCCTTTATCTTATTTTTCAATTGCAGACAGCTCTGCAGAAGAAATCACGGCTTCCATATAATGTCTGTGTCCTCAAATACACCTGGATTAGCTTTTCTGATTGGTTGATGCTCCTCATCCTTCTGCACAATTTCAGATTTCTGAACTCAACCGTCAAGCACTGGAAGAGTGGGATGCTCTGACGCTCGGATACACTGCTCCCGATGCACGGACATACTGTACCGCAGGACTTCTCGACACTGTTTGACACCTTCGCTGTACCTTTGCATTTAAATCAGATTCTTTCAGAACATGTTAGGTGTGAATGCACCTTAAGCCTGATTGTGACTCCATGGTTTCTTACGCTCTTTCTGTGAAAAGATTCTGGATTCTTGCCTACCCCTTGGATCCCTCTGCCTGGCTCTGTTCTGTCTGCTCTGACCCATTTTCTGTCTCCTTGAAAAATGGGCACTATCTCCCCCCTGGAAAGCTAAAACTGAGAAGTACCATTACTCTGTTTATCTGTCTCAATCAGGCATCACTAAACCCTGTTTTGGAGTGATCCAAACCTGCAGTGATGTCAAGCAAAACCAAATGCCGCTCTGATATCTGCTGAGGAACCGAGAACATCTCCCTTCCAGTCAACACGGATCCTGAGAAGGTTAGGCCTTTTTTCTGGTTGATGTGCTTAAATATAGAATCAATTTAGTAACTAACCCGTTCTCTTTTTCTCAGAGATTCCTGTCTCCCATACTGAAATGTTTGTGCAGCGTTGGCTGAACTCTTTGAATACATTTTTAAAATGTTCACTATTGTGTCTGGCTGAATTTTGGGTCCTTTGCCTGAGATTTTGCAGATTTGGCTTGTAGCTGTATTAGTGAACGCTTTTCTCTAGCATTTGAACACTCTTCTTTTTGTCCAAAAATTATCATGGTAGTTTTCTCCTGACTCAACTGAAGAAAACTTTTGCACATTCATGTGTTGATTTTTTATATGCATTTACCCAGCGCTTGTATAGGTTCATAGTCACCTGAGATATCGAGATGTACAGCTGTGTGTTATCTGCATAGTTATAGTAAATCATGTTGTTGTTTATTAAGATCTGACTTAGGGAAGGCATAAAAACATAGGAGAGCCCCCACGGTGGTCACTTGGGGAACTTCCCATTTAATTTTTGTGAACTATAATGTAAACTTAACTACTGAGACAAAAAAGGTCCTGTTTTCATTGAGGATTTAAACCACACTAACGTACAAAAAAGGGTGATCCAACTTTCCTGGCGATCTAATATAATACAGTAATCAGCAGTGTTGAATGCAGCTCTTAGGCTGAATAATACCAGCGCTGTGGTTCTTCCACAGTCTGCGTTTCTATGGATGTCACTGAACACCTTGACAAGAAAAGTCCCTGTGCGATGGGGAGCACAGCCTGGATACAATTAATGTACATGCTGCGGCATAAGGCAATTGTCCTTCATCTATCCCTGATCCATTTTTTGCAGAGATAATTGCAATACAGACACACTCATCATATCATTGGATCAACATACAACAAAACCAGAGACATTTTATGTTAACGTTGTACTCCGATTATATTGATATTGTGTACTGTACATCTGTTCACTTAATCTTAGCTTTGTCCCAATCTTCCAAAGGGTCCGACTTGAGCCACTTCAACATTTGGTACTAAATTGATCATTGTCAAAGAATTTTGACTGCTTTTGTATTTAGTTTTTCTTGGTCTCCTTTGTACTGTGCATTTCTCGAGCCATCCTCAATATTTGCTAACAGTAAATGCATTTCTCAAAACAAATCATACAAATAGCAAAACCCTAGTAAACGAACATGTTAATGCCATCAAAATGAGTGCTGGTGTCAGTTGAATTAATATTACAGCGGATTAGTCATGTAGTCATTATAACATTGTACTATGGATAGATGTTCTTGTAATCCTCCATAGTACAGTGTTAGCCATAACCTCACCCTAACCCATACTGTGAACCTAAACTATGGCTAAAGTTTTGATGGCAATTTCTGTAGATACTAAGTTATTTCTGGGACGATATTAGAGATTTATTTCAAAAGACTTTTATATTTATATTTTATATTTATATTTACTTATTTACTGTTTGTACTGTAATTTCTTAAGAGAAAAATTGCAGCACAGCCTTAAATAAAGAAATAAAAGTAGAGTAGAAATGTAAACAACATAGGACAATCTACTTAGTGAAAACTGTGATGCAGTCATGTTGGAATTATAGTGCAGTCTTCCTACACCTCCTAATGTTAATGTTTGTTGAGCCACATCTTCTAATCCAGATCAAAATAAATATCTTCTCTTGCTATGCAGTTTGGAAAGAGAATTTTAGACTGTCTTATCAAGTCTTTGCAGGCTTCTGCTGTGATGTTATCACGCACTGTATGCATGGCAGCCTGTAATAGAAATAGGAAGTAGGGTGGGAGGAACTCCAACAGCATCCTGGTGTGGGTCGCAAACTATTGCCTGATGATGTTGTGATAAAAACTGATATCCTCGTAAGCTATCACCTACTTTGACAAGTCATCTACAGTCTGACCACTCTCTTTTCAGGGATAAGATCCCTATAGAAAGTTTTTAAAAAGTTGACATGATACAATGATGGGAAAATGCATTACTACACCATTCTTAGATTTCGCCTAGAATGGTGTAGCTTTACACATTTCCCTTCATCAGAAAACGTCAAAAATGACCAGGGAGAAATTTACTGTACCAATGCAGGAGGTAATTAGAAAAAAAAGTTTAGGTTAATCTATAGAAATCTGCTTGAAATATTACTTTTTTTTTTAAACGATGTTGTATATTAAGACCTATGTGGTGAACTAATGCATAAAAATTGTGGGACCCATTATAGTACAGTGGGATCAAGTATACCACGCCAGTATAGCTGGCCAGGGTGTAACCACCTCTCGCCCGTAGACAGCTGGAGAAAGGCACCAGCACCCCTCTCGATGCCCGCTTGGGATAAGCATTACAGAATGGATGGATGGATGGATGGATGGATGGATGGATGGATGGATGGATGGATGGATGGATGGATGGATGGATGGATGGATGGATGGATGGATGGATGGATGGATGGATGGATGGATGGATGGATGGATGGATGGATGGATGGATTATAGTACATTTTGATTCACGTGACATAAGCAAAAAATAATGTAGGAAACAGTAGAGAATTGTTCATACTTCTCAACATGCATGTAACAAAGCATTTCCAGCTTGTTTGTAATTGGAAAATATTTTATGTTTCCAATTGACAGAAGCATCAAAAAGTAGATCTCAGAATTTAAATTATTATCTTAGAAATAAACAAAATCTACTGAAAAAAACTTCAGTAGTACCTTTCCCTCCCACAGTAACCATCACTAGTGTTCAGAAGTAGGTACCGGTAGTACCTTATTATATTTACTCAGTTACATTTCCTTGAGTTACTGTTTGAAGGAAAAAATGGTTTTACCGTTTCATACTGGCATTCTTGTTTCTGTTGAGATGTTGACTTTTTCATATTGCTTTGACTACTGTAAGTCCTTTTGAATCATAATTGAGTTAGTTTGAGTTAAAGTTAATTATGTGAACTTCTAAACAAAGTTTAAATTAACTAATGAATCTCTAAAATACCATGTGAAGTTGGTACTTTTTCTAGCTCTACATTTTTTTTTATTTTTTTTTAATAAAACCCTTTTTTCTTTGTGTTAGTTTTTCCAATGCCTATATATTTTGTTTTACTACAGGAAAGCTTGAAATACTCATAGCAAAGCTGGTCTGGTTCTTAACATGCAAGCAAAGAGGCCATGTTTTGTTGGGCTCTCTGTTCAGACTAAACCTTAATCTTTTGATAAGAATCTTGCAATAAAAGAAGGTAAATGTTAGCCCACCTAAATGATTGCCCTCTTTCCTGAACAGTTTCTTTCTCTACAGGGAATTTTACCCCTGTTTTATCTAAGTCCACCAACTACGGAGGACCACTGCCTTGTGTGCTAAAAAATAAGAGCAGCTTTGTTTTCAAGCAGTGGCAGTGCCAAAAAGAAGGAAAATGCTTTCCTCCAACTGCTGCAAGTAGAGTGGCCACTGTAGAGGAGAACTTGTTACTTCCTGTGCTGACTCATTTGAGTATTATACAAGGTATATTTAGTGGTGCAGAGATAAAGAAAACAAATAACAAAAAGGAAGTAAAATAAACCTTGTTATATTGTGCTGATCAATCATAAGTTTGTCTGCCAGGACTGTTTTTTTTTTGTTTGATATTTTTAGATGTCCCGACTTATTTTGACTTACAGGCAGGGCTGTAACTACCACCGAGGACAGAACCTCAGTTAAATAATTTATTAATTGCTTAAATTGTGATATAGGCTTAAGCTAAAATAAATTGCAGTGAAACTGACTTTAGGACGATGATCTTGGTCTCCCTTTAAACCGCGAGATGTTTTTTTGTTTTGAAAAGCCAAAAGTGGCAGACAAAAACGGGACATCAAAGCTTTATTTAACTATGTCTGTACCGCTTGTCAGTCAATTTGTCTGAACCAACATTCATTATGCGATTGATATGTTAGTGAGGTCTTCAGCTGAAAGTGAAACCTTTATTCGGCGTTGGTTTGGCAGTGTTGGATCTTGAACCGGTTTATATTTCTGCTAGATACCAGAGCAGAAAGCAATAAGAAGGCAGATTGCGTGGGACAGGAAGTCGGGTGCAGAAACAAAATAAAACATCTGGTTAATTTTCAAAATAATAATAATTTCTTTGGTAACATGCCCTTACTTCAAGAGTCACCCTGGTTCTTAAAAAAAGCCTTAAAATTCTCCATTTTTATCTAATACTGCTATAATGTATTAGACTATTTTATCTTACATACCTACTGACATTCATTAAATTTGTATATCTATCCAGGTTGTTTAATATTATAGTTATTATTAGCTAGTTTTACTACTATATTCTTTGACATCCGGGTGCTCTGGAATCATGGAAACAAATTTAGTTTCATTTAATGTTAATGTGTTGAATTGACAAATAAAACTCCTTGAAACATGATATTGAAATACATAATGTTTTTATTTCTATCAGTTAAATTTTTAACTTTGTTGATATTCTTAACTAAAGGGAAAACAGGAAGGGAGGAAAAGGTCGAGTCCAACCAAACTCTGCTTTGGGCCAAGCAGCAAGAGGAGCAGTGAAGAGAGAGAGAGAGAGGGTTTGGTTTGGGAGAGCAGGTACTAGAAAAAGAAGATATTGTTCTACCATACTGTTGTGTAGCAGAAACAACCTATCTGAACAATTTTGATGATGTAATTTTGAGCTTGACAACATTTATTTGGAGTGGGTTAAATGACCACTGAATAGATGTAGAAATTGTTTTTCACATTTGTTAGAGTAAGCATTAAAACCCTAATATTATCCTTTGGTGCTGCAGACTTAATTTTCTTTACTTTTTTACCAGATAGTAATAGACAGACTGGTGATCATTAACATTTATTTTTGCACAACGGTCAAAAGACCTATTCAGAATACTGACCGGTTTCTCTCCAAAAGACACTTCATCATTGCTCAAATTTTCCCGTAAGCCTTTTTGAGAGAAACACAGCCACAACGTAAATCGTCTTCTTTTGCACTTCACATTGGAAATAACA